TTATAAAAGTTTTTGTCAAAATTTCATCGATTTTTAAGAAGATTAAAAAAATATATATATGTATAGTTATACAAATATCTATATATATATATTAATATATATATTATACGGCAAAATGTATGAAAAATCGGTATTCTATCGAACACTTTTAAGCATTGTATATAATGCCTAAACATTCTATAGATACCGGATTTCTAAGTTTGCCGATAAAATATATAAATCTTCAACATGCCCTTTTTTTTATATTACAGGTAATCCTTGAAGAACATTAATTGGTTCCGTGTTGTTCTACACTACTCTAGGATACAAAAATACGAAAATCCATTTCGAGTGTACAAATATACATGATCAGTGACATTTTTTATTGTTTATATTCTTATTAGTAAAAAAACTTTTAAGAAAATCTTGTATTATATTATAATTCAAATCAATTTTTTTTTAATTTATTTTTAAATGACGTTTTTCATCTTAAATTTTCATGATCAAAATGATATAACAATTGTAAATAATATATTTGTGTATATAATTATAGTATTTATTATTTCAATTAAGATGAAATTGATTCGAAAGAAATTATAATCATGATTTTTCAAATTTTGCGATATAAATTATAATTCGCAATTTAATCACAATTGTAAATAGTATTTGTGTAAATAATTAGTATTTATTATTTCAATTAAGATGAAATTACTCGAGAGAAATTAAAATCATGATTTTTCAAATTTTTCGATAAAAATTATAAATCGCATATAATCACAATTGTAAATAATATTTGTGTATATAATTAGTATTTATTTTTTATTTATTCGAGAGAAATTAAAATCATGATTTTTCAAATTTTTCGATAAAAATTATAAATCGCATATAATCACAATTGTAAATAATATTTGTGTATATAATTTGTATTTTTTATTTTAATTAAGATGGAATTGATTCGAGAGAAATTATAATCATGATTTTTCAAATTTTGCGAATAAAAATAATAAATCGCAATTTAATCACAATTGTAAATAATATTTTTGTATATAATTTGTATTTTTTTATTTCAATTAAGATGAAATTGATTCGAGAGAAATTATATTCGTGATTTTTCAATTTGTCCAATAAAAATTATAATTCGCATATATAAAATCACATTTGTAAATAATATTTGTGCATATAATTTGTATTTTTTTATTTCAATTAAAATGAACTTGAATCCAAAGAAAATATAGTCGTGATTTTTCAAAACTTGCCAATTTAAATAATAATTCGCATATAATCCTAAACAATTTTGGTGCTTTGATTATAATTCTAAAATTTTATCAAACACACATACACACACAAATTATACATATCCTGAAAATTATGTTTTACATAATATGTATAATTAAAATATATATATATATATATATATATATTTAAATCTTTTTCAAAAGAATTACTCGCGAAAATCGCGTGTAATTCGAAGAAAAGTATATCCCATGGTGTTCTTCGCAACACGTTTTCTTCAAGTACCGTATTCTACAGAATAATAATAATTAATATTATTAATTAACAATTAACAATTTATCTCTAGACCAAATATTACAAATAATAAATAAACCATTGCAATTATTTTTTGTTTCGATTGCTTATTAACTCGCTCGTTGATTCGTTAGAGTTTCATTAAAACAACCAACGTTGATAAATTTATGACAATTTGTTCATAGTTTCACAACTTTATAAGGAATTCATGATCTTTTTACTTCCTCTTTCTCTCTCTCTCTCTCTCTCTCTCTCTCTCTCTCTCTCTCTCTCTCTCTATCTATCTCTCTTTCTAGTTTTCTCTAGGGAAATAGCGCGTCTTCTTTTTATGGGCTGAAAAAGCTAAAGGACCAAGGGTCGCGTCGAAGCAGAAGGGCTTCGAACGTGCTCCGATGAAATGGAGTTTCGAACGGAAATGGATTCGACGATGGGAACTCTCTCTCTCTCTATTACGGTGCTGATATAGAAGTTTGTTCTTTTTTTTTTCTTTTTTTTTTTATTCTTTTTCTTTTCTTTCTTTTTCTTTCTTTCTGTCTCTCTTTATCTCTTTTCCACTCTTCGTACTTTCTCGTTAAAATCCATACTACCAATTTTTAAATCTCCCCCTCCCACCACCCACCCACTCACCCTCCCATCACCGTTCTGCGAAGGTTTACTATATCCTTTTTTTCAGTTCACAAAAATTCGATTGATTCCACATGGATTTTGATACACACCCCCGGAGAGGACAAACTACGAAAAAAAATCATTTAACTCGTGTCACGGATTAAATTGCATAGTTAACTATATAAAAAATATTAAAAAAAAAAAAAAAAACCGTATAATATTTCAAAATGTTTTTGTTTTTAGGTAGTATGCATATGCGTGCATAAGTGAGTGAGTGAGTGAGTGAGTGAGTGCGTGACACCTTTCGTTTACTAACTTAGTAGAAATGCAACTACGTTCTTGCTACAATAAGAATTATGCTCGCATCGTTTTCCACGGCGAAAAGGAAGAGAGAAAAGGAAGAAAATATGAGAAGAAAGAAAGAATGGGAATGAGTGAGAGAGAGAGAGAGAAAGAGAGAAGAGTTGCATGTACATTTTCATGGGGCTTGTTTATTTAATGCTTTCCTACGAGCTTGTAATGCGTTACCAGCTCGAAGACCTCCTCTAAGGGTTCCGTTGTGAGGTAAAGTGGAGGATCACGCGAGGGCAAGGTGGAAAGTCGAGATAGATAAAGAAAAAGAATGAGAGACAGAGAGAGAGAGAAAGAGAGAAAGAGAGAGAATGAACTGGCAAACAGGTTCTCTTCCTTCCTTCAGGATGACGAAGTGAGTTATATCTTCTTTGCGGTGACAGAGGGAAACAGATTCGACTTTGAGATTAGAGAGAGAGAGAGAGAGAGAGAGAGAGTGAGTACCGTTTTTCTGAAAATTACCAAGAGTAAGTCTTGCATGATACAACCAAAGTCTTTTACTATTCTTAGCAAGTATTTTTTTTTCATTTCGATAACTAGCATGGAGGAATCAACTGTTATCATTTTGTTATTTTTTAATTTTAATTTATTTCAACTTTTTTTTTTTTCTAGCACTAATCACGAAAATTATTTTTCTATACGTTTAAAATAAATTCTAGATTTTTTCTATTTTCTTAATCTGATATGTATCAGATTGTCTTAGAAAAATTATCCTGTGTGGGAGAGAGAGAGAAAAAATAAAAAGGAGGAGCTTAACAGAAAGTCCCTATAATTCAATGAAATATGCAAATTGATTAATCAACAGGAACATTTTTAGGAACTAACAATATAAAATTATATAGAAAAGACAAAAATCTCACATGTAAACCTGTATATATATATTTTGATACAAAGGATAAAAAAAAAGTAAAAATAATTCTGACAACGAGAGAAAGAGAGACAAAAGAAAGAAACGCGTTCTCGTATCCGGCATCTAAAATGTTCCCACGGATACTACTCTCGGGGAAGTATTTCTAACGTTCCGTAGAAGCGCGATCGTTAAACTCCGTCCTGTGACTCGAGAGGATCGATTTAGCGGATTCACAGCAATCGGCGTAGCCACTCGGAAAGCTCCCATAGCTTTCTAGTCGATTCCCCATTTGCTTCAGTACGTATGATCTACAATTAGATTGTCTGACCAAGTTACTATGATCCTTTACACTCTAAAAACACACGCATACAATGTATGCATTGTTGCGTGCTGAATACAATTGCTTGATTTTTATAGTAACGTTACAAATTTGTTCTGTTAAAACACGTTAGGATTGATCAAAAAAACTATTGAAAAAGGAAAAAAAAAAAAAAAAGAAGAAGAAATTTCGGATCTTATTTTTTTTTATCATCATCGTTTGGTCGAACAAAGAATATTGAAACGTTGGGTTAGTATATGAGAAGAGAGGTGGAGAGGAGGAGAGGAGGAGGAGGAGGAGGATCTGTTAGAAGGGCGAAGCTAGGCAGGACTCGCACACGCTCGGTCACATCCACTCGAGGACGCAGGACAGAACGTTTAGGGTCGTTGCCCTCACACGGTTTATCTCCGTGTTCGGTGTTCTACGTATATATTTCGTCTCTTTCTTTCTCTCACACATATACATTTTCCCTTCCTCTTCTATCTTTCTATATTCCTCCTCTAACTTTCTACATCTCTCTCTCTCTCTCTTTCTCTCTCTCTCTCTCTCTCTTTCTATTTCTTTATTTCTGTTTTTCTTTCACACACGCATTTACTAATTCAGCATACTTCGTACATTCGCGTGATACGATACATTTTTTTTTGTTAACACGATCAAGGGTCAAAAGGAACCATCCTAATTGTATTTTTTTTTTAATTTTTATTTTTATCTTTTACCGAAAACTTTGAACTCTTCTTTTCTGTTCTAAGTTCCACCCGGTTCCACGACGTTTATTTTTGTCCTCGCGTGTATCGTTGATCCCGTTTGGGAAAAGTGCAGTAGGAATGTGTTCTCGTAGTCGTTTATTCTTTGAAAGTGCCAACTCTCGAGATTTCTCACTTTTTAGAGAGTTGTTTTATCGAAAGACTAACGTGTATAGGGTGATAATAGAGATAAAGAGAATAAGAGAGAGAGAGAGAGAGAAAATATCGATGGTACTATACGAGGAGAGACAAAGTAGTTGAAGAGAATGCGTAAAACAGGTACTTAAGGTAACAATGAACGATCGACTAGCTCGAGGTCTTTCATTCTGTTTCCCCCATAGTTGTATGTTCCTACGGTATTTGATCTTTACTACTACTATACAACAACGTCATCCCTTTTCACCTATCTCCAGCTAACTAACTAGCTGTGATTTTCAGGATTTTCATCAAATACACACATGTAATAATAATTGTTTGATTTATTTTATTAAATGAAAGGTAAATGCGTAATCTCATAATAATATATATATATATTATTATTTTAAGAGAATTTGTTACGCGAAACCATGAACACGAATTTCATTTATACAATATTTATTTGTATTTGTTTTTGTTATGATTACAGGGATCTAGAACAAGATTTAAGATTATCGGAAGAAAGTGAAGATGAAACGACACCTAAAGTGAGTAAAATAATCATCGATAGTTATCGTTTCATTATCATAATTTGCCCATTAAACGATTAAACGAGAAAGTAAAAAGAATAAGGGAAAACGCTAGCGCGTATGTAAATCAATCGATAGACAAGAAGTAACAGTTAGTAGTAATAGTAATAGTAGTAGTAATAGTAGTAGTAGTAGTAACAGTGACTTGAACGCGTTTGTGAAAGAGTAAAAAAACCACAAGCACACTAGAATAAAAAGTTTCCTTTCTCCTTTCTTTCGACAATGTTTCTTTATCGCGATTCACTTCTTCCATTTTGTTGCTTCCCCCCAAGAATACTTCCGCAGGTTGGTACCACCTGCTTTCAATCGATGATAGAGTAAGTTACGTTCATCATATTTCGACTCTAAATGTAAATCGAATCGCGACTTATTTATTTGTGAATCGTTCGAGTGATAACATTCGATTGATTTATTATTATAGGAAACCCCGGCAAAACCTAATAGAGGAAATAGGAGTCCACATCTACCTTTAAGGTTAGTATATAATCTATGGTATTTCACATATTTTTTTTTTATATAATATACAATATTTAAAATAATGAATATTTTTTATTTAAATATTAAATGAACGAAGTTGAACACACACATTGTGATTTATAGATATCATTCGTCTTGCAGTTTGACGACACCATCGTTGCCAAGTATGGTACCTGGACCTACACCAACGGAATTGTCCCCAATACCGATGTCACCTGTAGGCCCATTATCACCTACGAGGCCTTTGAATTTGCCTCGACCTGTATCACCGATGAGGAAAAAATCACCGGAAAAATTGGCCACGCCACCACCGATAAGTCCAATACCATCTACGAAAGATTCACCCAATCTAAATCACAGACCACCCAGTCCACCCGGTCAAGCACCCCAAAGTTCACCAAGTGCTAGCTCGAGTTCGGATTCAGGGTCTGATTCTGGTAGTGAATCTAGCGATGATTCTGACGAAGAAGTGAATCAACCTTCAAATGGCAAAGGTCCATCAACACCACCACCACCACCCATCTCTCCGAAACCCATTGAATTGAATCAACCTGAACCTCCCGAGGTATTACAGGAAACTAAAAAGAGATGGAATCTTAGTAATTTTTACAAAATTACCGTACCAAACAATGAAAAGGATGAAACGAAAACGGCTCAGGTAATTCACCATTGTTTTTTGTTTTATCAATCGTTAATTATTTTCAAGTAGCGTGATCCTTCGATTACGATTTATTAAGAATTTTACACGAATGGTTGTAAACTATCTTCCAACGTAATGAACAGTCTCCACGAGTTTTTATTTTTTTAGAATATATATAATCTCTATATATAAATCGAATAAATAAAAGATATCAATTTGTTTTTAACACTTTTTTCGATCTATTTCATTTAGGGTGGAACGAGGTTGGAACAGACGACGCTTCAAACGTCCGAGGCTCAAGAAAAAACTCAAGATTGGCAATTGGACGATGGATTGAAGCAAACGCACAATTCAACTATGATGAATATGCTTAGTGATAGTAGTCATCAATCGGATAAAAATCAAACTGTTGAAGAAAATCGTTATGAGGTAGATAAACCTAAAATGACGGATACGAAGAAACGTGGTCGACCTAGGAAATCTACCAAAAGTCCAAAGGGTGATCACAGGACACCCGATTTTAATAAAAGTACCAACAAGTCGTGTAATAGAATAAGATCGAATCCAAAAAAGAAGAGATCCATTTCTAAGGCAATCGTTGAGACTAGTGACGATGACAGTGATGAAATATCGCGGGATGCTTCGAGTGATTCGGACAGTGATAGGACAGCACCAACTCCGATCACACCTGTGATCACAGTTATTGCTGAGAAACGAAAATCAAGGCTTAGCATATCATCGAGTGAAGACGAGAGTCCTCCAAATGAAAAGAACAGCGCGTCCGAGAGCGAATCAGCACGTTGGAGGAGAACTGCCATGAAACAACGTACCAAATTAGCAGACTCTCCTAAAAAACTGGACAAGAAGAAAAATCCAATTAAGGGTAAACCGAGAAGGCCCAGATCAAGAGTTACCAACATCAATGCTGGTTCTGATTCGGACAGCGAGTCTGACATCGCTATAAGAAATCGCATACAAGTTGCTAGGTAAGAATTAATCATTTATATGTAATAAATAAGATTTTTTAACAATTGAGAAAAAATAACAATTTCTTTTTTTTTTTTTTTTATCTAAAAACGATATTTAATTTTTATAGAGTTCAACCTAGACCAAGAATAATACCACCAACGAGAACGCGTTCCATGGAAAATTCTGATAGCGATAATAGTCCGACTTCTAAATTGCAAGAGGACGATGCTGGTAACGTTCAGGATAAAAAGAAGAGTGACACTTTGAGAAAATTGTTTTCTATATCTAAAGGTGGTGCGAAAGGTGGTGGTAAGGGTGGAAAGGGTGGTGCGAAAGGTGGTAAAGGTGGGGGAAAGTGCGGTATTTATGTTCAGGAGTATACGGCATCGGCCAATACACCGAACGGTAGTGAAAGTCCGTACAAAAGGCCAACATCACAATCTTCGAACAATTCAATGTTGCCACCGTTGATTTATAAGAACGACGTGCCGAGTTTAATGTGCAAGATCGATCTTAATAGAATACCACATTTATCGTCGAGAGGACAGGAACTGAGACAACATACGGAACTTCCGGATACCAGGCCATCCTCTAGGCCACCATCTAGGCCACCTTCTAGGCCATCTTCTAGGCCATCTTCTAGGCCATCCTCTAGGCCATCATCTAGGCCATCTTCAAGACAATCTTCTAGCGTGCACGCTCAAGCATCAAGACCACATACTCCAGAGGAAGGGGAGATAATCGATGCCTCGCCTGCCCGGCAACGTTCTTCCGATGGTGCTGGTAGGATTCGTGGTGTTGATAGTACCGGTGTTATTGATAAGTGCGACAAGAAGAGTCGTTCGAACTTAACGAAAAAATCCTCCTCCTCATCCCAATCATCGAGTTCAAAAAACTTAATTGGTAGTGGCACTCGCAGTGCTGGTAATAATGTCAGTACTGGTAGCTCTAGTGCCACTAATAATACATCTAAAAGAAAACGTAATACGAGTAGTAGCTCAGGGTCTAGTTTAAGTGCTGCTGCTACATGTTCCACGGATTTAAAATCCAAACCCGGCAGTTCTGAGCACAAAGAAAAAAGGAGGAAACACGTTGAATCGGAACCGACCACGTCTAGGCCTTCTTTAAGTAAGGTAATTCATTCATCCATTTTTTTGTTATTCCCTCGGAATAAATATTAATTCACATTCGCATATTCGTTATTATCATATTTATTTCGTTAATTTAAACAAATGTGATTGCATTCAATCCTTATATAGATTATTACATTTATTATAGGTGAACGACAACCTACAACCAACCAATCACGAGCGGGAAGAAAGGACTGATGCGAATATATTACCACCCCCACCCCCGCCACAACGTACCTATTATTCGTATTTTATCGACCCGCTTAACGAAGTTTCGGAAGATCAGGATAGGTAATTATTATTCATCTTCAATTAAATTAATCATTATGTATAACACTCTTTATCTACTTTTTTTCTTATCCTTATTTTTTTTTTAGCACCTATACCTTATAATGTGTATGGCGTCGAACTGAAAAAAAAAAAAAAAAAAAAAAAAAAAAAAAAAAAAACCACACACTAGGGCAAATAATAATCTAGCAAATAAAGTATTAATTCCAAAATATACAAAACAAGATTCTAAATTTTAAGATGACAAGAAATAGGAATAGAAATGACAACAAAAAAGTGTCTGTTTTATATTACAATATTTATATTATAATATAATAGGGACCAGAATCAGTACCTGACAGAAGCAAAACGGTTGAAGCACAGCGCCGACGAAGAGTGCGAACTTACAGCACAGGGAATGTTGTACTTGGAAGCCGTTTTGTATTTCTTACTTACTGGCAACGCCATGGAGTCTGACCCTCTTACGGAACGAGCGTCGTTCACGATGTACAGAGATACCCTCAGCCTCATAAAGTGAGTAGATCTTTAATTAACTACAAACTCCTCCTCCCTTACGAAGAGGGAGAACAAATGAGAGAAAGAGAGAGAGAGATAAAGATAGATAGATAGGAGTACTTGCTAATTAAAGCAATATCTACGATTTAGTTCTATCTTTATTCCAGATATATCTCATCAAAGTTTAAGAGCCAACAAAATAACTCGCCGGAGAGCAGTATAAATAACAAGTTGGCTGTCCTGAGGTGAGTACCATTCACTCGAGACTCTTTTACATTCATCCCCTTCGATGATTATTACGTAGTAATACACACAATATTTTTCATATTCTCAACAATATTTTTATTATCTTTATTCTTGTTTTCTTTCTTTTTTTCCAGCCTTTGGTGCCAGTCACTTTTATATTTGAAAATGTTCCAAATGCTCAAAATTGATGTTAAAGAGTATCAGAAGATTCTTAATGAATATCATCAAAAAGTAAGTTAACATTTTTAATCAAATTTATTATAAATGATGTCGTTAATACTCGTTACATTCATTTTTTGTTTAATTTAAATAAAATAAAAGAAACAAGTAAGATTTAATGTAAAATTTGTGTAATTGTAGCCCGCTCAAGCAACACCTATGCTACCGGAAGGTCAAGGTACACCATCCTTGTCTCCAACACCATCACCCGCTGGTTCAGTTGGTAGCCAAAGTTCGGGTTACAGTAGTGGAGAATTAGCTAATAGAGCAGCTGCTGCACCTCCACCTCAGCCCCCGCCACCACCATGCGTCAGCGTTCCTCTCCACGTCCATAACGCTATGATAAAACAAAATTATTATTTTAGTTTGTTGCTAACTTGTCACGATCTTTGGGAACAAGCGAACGCTTTGGTAACGGATAAACATAAAGGTACGTAGAAAAAATATTTTTCTATATCATTTATATAATATTATATAATATTTTTCATTATCAAATGAATTATCAATCATCTTTTTTCTTTTATTTTTTAATTTAGATTTTTTTATCGAGCTGGACGAGAAGATGGGACCCCTCACATTGAACAGCTCGCTTTGCGATCTGGTGCGTTACGTGAAAGCTGGAATAAAGAAGCTACGTGCTCTCTGACCACAATGGCACAGCCCCCGACCACCCACCCCCAATTACATTACCTCCCTACCACAAAACATCGCAACTTATCCAACGATGTTCACGTAAATCTTGCTTGCGTGACCATTCGTCGTTTATTTGTACGACACTTGGACACACAACAACGTCGTCAGAAGAGCGCAATTCTCATCGATTACGAATTTAAAATACACACACAAAAATAACAAAAAGAACAATTGTTTTCTTTAGCACGAGGGAGGAGAACTCTAACTAGTGAATCCAAAATGGATTGTGTTGTTTTTTAAAAAAAAGAAAATACACGGGGGATAAGGGAGTATTATCGAAAAGAAAATAAGAAGAACAAAAAGAAGAAAAGGAAAATGAATAATTGTGTGTCACGGGGTGCGAAGATGTATACCAGCAGAACAAGAAGAAGAAAAAGAAGAATGGATGAAAGTAACGCGCAAAGTGAGGAAAAGTTATAAACGAGATGAAACAAAAAATCCTCGGCCCGTGATTGACGATAGAAAAAATGGTGCGCGTGCGGTGATGATTTTGATGATTTATTAACATTGCAAGAAATAATATGGCGTTTAAGGAAACATTGACAAAAATTATTGTTCTAAAAGACAATGCGCGAGTTTGATATAAAAATAAAACAACAACAACAAAAATAACAAATGAATTTAGCACGATTTTAGTAGTCAATTTATTGCGAATCGCGCTATACACATACATACAATATTTATAAATATATATATATATATATTTATAAAAGGTATGTCGATTATTCTTAAACATAAGAAAATAAAAAAGAAAATCACGAAAGGGTGCTTTAGCCCAATAAAAACTCTCTCTAGGAAAACGGTTTAACAATAACTTATATCTATTTTTTCGAAGTGTCCGCTTTTGTAAGTTATCGCATAATAGAAATGATGAGGAAAATGAGATATGAGATTGTATGTGAGGATGATTAATTATTGTGTGATTTAATTAATTCATTAATCGAGGGTAATAAGTTTAAAAAAAAGGTTAACGTAAGATCAGTGATCGAGAGGAAGTTTCGATAATAGGGAATGTAATAAAGGGGTTGGTTGAAGATGAAGAAGTTAAATAGATGAATAGAAGTGCCACAGGAGCGCCCGTGTTTTCTTGCTTCACGGTGCGCAACATCCGACGTTACCTGAAGCGTGAGTCTCGTCTTATTATCGACGATTCCCATGCGACGAAATAAATAAATAAATAAATAAATAATTAAATAAATAAATAAATAAATAATTATAAATAATATTAAATAAATGAATAAATAAATAAATGAGAAGGAAAAGAAAAAGTAAATAAATAAAAAAAACAAAATACACAATTATATAC